GATGCGCCCACCCGTTCGTCCACGCCAGCGCGTGCACACTCACACTCACACGCACACATGCACACGCAGTCTCTACCTATCTCCTCGAGCTCCGACAAGGAGACAAAAGCCGAGCCCCCAACCCACTGCATTTAAACCCGGCCAGACCTGGCTTTAGGAAATTTATAAGCTGACCTCCATCTTGGCTGTTTCGAGAATAAATTAAAAAAAAAAAAGAAAGAAAGAAAGAAAAGATAGCCTAAAAAAGCCTAACATGTACATAGCCCTCGTTCCCAGTCGTGCTGCTCACTCCCCGCCCCCACCCCGACAGACGCTCCCCTTCCCGCACGCCGGGGGGCGCCCGGGGCACCGAAGTCTACACTGGGTCCGGAGACTGGTCTAGGAGCCAGCCCGCAGTGCTCGGGATCTTTGCTGATGTCCAAGTTCATCTCTCGGGGAGACCGAGTTTGAATCAAATATGTGTGCGCCCAGCTGTCAAATCAGCAAACCTATCACGCCAGACAATGGGCCGCCGCGGAGGAGAGAAAAGAATGGCTCATTTTGATCGAGGGGGGTTAATTGAAAAGGGCACGGGCTTTGGTTGAAGTTTGAAGCCCGGGTGTCAGGGCGGGGAGAAGAGGAGGAAGGAGGAGGGTTGGGCCGCTCTGCATTCAACCACACATCAGCCAGGCGCGCCCCTAGGCTGCAGCGGCTGCTTGCAGGCAGGCTGCACATTGTGTGGAGTCGCCAAAGAGGGTCTGTGTCTCGGGGCGCGCCCCAAACCCGGGAGACATCCTAGGGATCCGCACTCCTCTTGTGCTGTACGCGTGTTCCTCCGGGGTAGGTATGAGGAGAAGGACGCCCTCATCAGACACCCCTCCTCCAATACACACACACCCATAGCCACACCATTCAGGGATCCTCTAGTTCAGTGTATCAGTTTACACTTGGTTGTTGAGTAAACAAAGCAAACATATGTCACATTTTCGCGACAGATGGTTCAAACCAAGGGCTACTTAAGTTCTCTCTCTCTAACAGTCTAAGTTACAGGGTGGACTAAGCAGAAATGTAATTAAGTCATCTGATCAGTTTCTTCTCCTTAAAGTGTTTTCCCATATTTTCACGAACAAACCAGATAAATCCTGGGGATGTGGTTTCAGGGAAAGGAGGGCTGAATATGAACTAAGACTTTGTGTGAAGACTCCGTTTCTCCCTGGTCACCAGAAACAGAAAACCCTCTTTTATTGTTCCATTTCTTAAGTGGAGGAGAATGTCTTCTTTTGGAAAATCAGTAATTGGAATTTCAATTTTCAATAGAGGGACTAGTGCTTACCGGTGCTGACTACTTGGGATAGTTGGACTACAATGAGGTTTAAGACATCATCCACATCTTTTGTAAATGTTCTTGGTTTAGAAATGACTTTATGTTACCCTATATATTCCACAGAATTCTTTTGAATCAAATTTTAACAGGGTCGGGGAAGGATGAACTAAAAGCTCTCCAAATGTAGAATGTGGGACTTCTTTTTAAAATACAGATTATCTCCAACTTGTGATGCTTCTACTTATATTTTTAGACTTTACCATGGTGCAAAAGCCATATACATTCAGTAGACACCATATTTTGATTATGGACCATATACAATCATTCTGTTTTTCACTTTCAGTTCAGTATTGAATAAGTTACATGAGATAGTCAACACTTTACTATAAATTAGCTTTGTGTTAGATAATTTTCCCCAACTGTAGGCTACTGTAAGTGTTTTGAGCATGTTTAAGGTAGGCTAGGCTAGGCTGTGAGGCTTGATAGTTTAAGGTATATTAAATGCATTTTTGACCTATGATATTTTCAACTTATGATGAGTTTATCAGGGCATAAGCCTCATTGGAAGTCAAGGAGCATCTGTATTTTTAGCTTCAATAACGTATTTCTGAACCATTCACTCACACTAGTCCTTATTAAGTTCGTGCTACTGATGAAAACAGAGCTTTGTTTTTAAAAAGGTAACAATAACCCCCAGAGGCTGTAACTGTTTTCCAATACAATAGTCACTAGCCATGTGGCTATGTCAATGAAATTAATTAAAATTAAATAAAAGAAAAATGCGTTCCTCAGTCGCATTAACCATATTTCAAGTGCTCAATAGCTACATATGGCTGGTGGCTACCATATTGGACAACACAGATATAGAACATTCCCATCATTGCAGCAAGCTATAGTGGACAGCACTACCCTATAATGTTGGTGTGGAATTAGTTAATATGATATATATATATATAAATATTTTAGAATAGTAGAATAGTGCATAGAGTGCTTACTTCATAAGCAGCAGCAGTACTGGGGGTTGTAGTTGGAAGGATAATGATAACGATGATGATGATGATGATGATGATGATGATGTTGACAAAGATGATGATGCCTTGTTAGTCTCTTGTGGAAGTCAAAGAATCCATGAAGACACAGCCCACTTCTGGTATGTCAGGATGAGATCAGCAGGCAAAGAAGCTAAGGAGTAGGAGAACCGATATGTCCAAAGCTGATCTTCCAAGGAAAGCTGTGAACAGAAAGATGTGGCCTGTACTGTAGCCTAAGACTTCTTGTAGTAGGAGCTAATAAAAACAAAAATAAAAAAACTACATCCATTAACTTTTTTTTTTTTTTTTTGAGACAGAGTCTCAAACTGTCGCCTGGGCTGGAGTACAGTGGCGTGATCTCAACTCACTGCAACCTCCACCTCCTGGGTTCAAGGGATTCTCCTGTCTCAGCCCCTCCTAAATAGCTGGGATTACAGGCACCCACCACCATGCCCAGCTAATTTTTTTGTATTTTTAGTAGAGACGGAGTTTCACTATATTGGCCAGGGTGGTCTCAAACTCCTGACCTCGTGATCCACCCACTTCAGCCTCCCAAAGTGCTGGGATTACAGGCGTGAGCCACCACGCCCGGCCTACACCCACTAACTTCCAAAGGTGAGAGAAACACACGGCCAGAAAGCCCTTGGAATATGGAAGAGAGAAAAGCATTGTGACTTAATGTATTAATATCATCTCTGTTTCCTTGGAGCTTATCTGTTTCTGTGTGTATGGCACTGATCTCAGGATGAAAGGTGACATCAAAGTATCAAATATTATTAATAATTATAAAGGTTCATGTAATCCTCTGTGACATGTTTTCTCAGCAGAAAATTGGTTTTAATGCCACAAAATTGGGTTCAATCTACCCGTAAGCACGTGAAGTGAGCAATTTTCTGGCATTTCTTGATGTAAGTGTATCCTAAGTTAACAGATGAGTCAGGATGAGAATGACAGTTTTATTCCATGCAGCATTTTGTCTCTTTCTCTCATTGCTTTCCTTGGCTCTTTATTTTGTAAAATTCTACTGCATTCAGATTTTTTTTAACTCATTCTAGTCCATGAAAGTTCAACGTTTGACATCAGACAGCTTGACAGATTTACCGCTGTAGTTACAAAAAAAAAAAAAAACCACTCACCAGTCCCTGAGGGTACCATGACGTTTTTGACCGCTATACCTTTGCCCATTCATTTCCATCTGCCTAATGCATGCTTCATCCTGATATTTCAAGGCTCAGCTCAGCTCAGACAGGACACTAGGATAATACAGGCCTCTTTGGTCAGAATTCATAGTTCCCTGTAGTATTCTCCATGGCCTCATCGAAGTCTCTGCCATATCTATTGTAACACTGCATTGTAGTTAGTTGCTGCATCTGTCTCCACATCTGGAATGTGTGCTCCTTGAAGGCAGGAAACTGTCCTAGTCTTTTTTTGTTTCATCCCCAGTATTTAGACTGATAACCAAGACACAGTCACCCCCAATAAATGTATATCGATTGCATGAATAATCAGTGATGCTGTTCCTCATTTTCCTCTGATACAATAATTTTACTGAAAGGTTTACATAAAATCCCTTTACTGGATGAACAATGCAAAGTATAAGTACCTCATACAATTACTGGTATTGCTATTCTACTAATAGTATCAAATATGTATTATTCCTTTGGGGATTTGACATTTGAATTTTTTTAAACAAAACCCATTATTGTAATAGAATGCTCTTTTTCTGGTTCACTTTAATAGCAACATATGACATATTTCATTTCTGGGAAATGATAGCTTGCCTTAGGTCATATTTTAAGGCATAAAGCCAGAAGCAGAGTAAGGTTCCCACCTGAAGTTCTCTAATCATCTAGAAATGTGCCTGTTTCTGGCTGGGAGGCAGGGATTTAGAAGGGCTAGATTATGACTACCCTGGAGCATTCATTCACAAAGGCAAATTTTTAAAAGGCAAATTGGTCCCAAAGTGTTAAAAATTCTTTTATAAACACATGAACCCTCTTGCAATCTTTTAGGAGAAATGAGAAAATAGGAACCGTCTACACGCAGAAAGCTGGTTTAAGGGTCTATATGCTGACACAGATCTCACCTTCTAATGCTATGCTTTGACATTTGCCCTTTGGCAATACAAGGAGAACCAGTTGCTCTCAGATTTCAGAGCCCTTTTCCAGGCTGACTATATTAAGAAGTGTCTTTTGAACATTATTTGCAAATGGAAGTTTCTTATTGGCAATCTGGGCACCTGACCCCCAGGAACCTATCTTAGGAAATCTTTCTTCCTCCTTAGTTTTCAAGTAATTTTTATTTCTTATACTAATAAGCCGGTGCAATGATTTTAATGCCTTTGTGGAAGGATATTGCATTTCGTGAGAGTTGAAGTCATTTGTACTTTGGCCTTATGCCACAAAATGCATTCAAGGTGTGTAGCCCTGATGAAATAAAGTGCCTGTCATGTCTTATTGCCTGAATATATGGCAAAAGATACCCCATCTTCGGGGGACTTGGAAGGCTTTTCTCTGATTGCCATAGGTGTTGGATTAAAAGCCCTGTACATTTCAGTCTTCTTTATCCAGTAAGGATGGAGAACGCCTGCACGGAGAAAACATCTTTTCTCTCCACCACTCTCCTAATAAGCCCTAAACCCTGTTCCAATGGGATTGTTCCTTCATAAGGGCAAGAGGGAAGCTTAATCCCCAGCTTTGTCCAGTAATTAGCCTCTCTCTCTCTGGAGGCAGCAAACACAGATGCCAATCCGGATGAGCTTTGGGACGTGGAATGAAAACAAGACTGAAAACACTGACTCACTTCTTCAGAAGCCTTTTAGCAGCCTCGAAGACAGCAACAACCTCTGATTTCTATTGATGCACGTTTGTTCTAAGTGGTGGGATGGGGCCTCTCCCATCGCTGATGAAGCAAGAGAAGAAGCAGAGATCACCAAAGACGTGGGGATAAGTGACCCGAGGTCCCTCTGCAACAATGAAGGCTCTGTAACGCAGCACTGTTCTTGTTATGCCACTTACCCCAGCATCTTTCAAGAAATGCCATAGAAATGCACTGTTTACCAAAACCAAAACCTCTGGAAGCGCTATAGTATGAGCCCGCTAACACAATTAACTCGCAGTTAATGATGATGCCCCCACCAGAACTAATTAAGCCAGTGGTGCTTGTAGCACAAAAGATTGGGGCCTGTTTTAAAGCATCAATTGTGACATCATTTAGAAGTCATTTCAAACTCCTCCAAACTCGAGAACTATTCCTCTGAAAACAAATGCGGTATAATGTTCTTAGAGTTGTTGGTTTTATTTTCTGCTGTCAAAAATCTGACAAAAGTCAGTTGAAACTGTCAAGGAAAAACATCACACAATATGAGGTTTTCCTCAAGTTTGAAGTCTATGGAAGGAATGACAAATCTGTTATATAGATTGCTCTAGCACAAAAGCAAATTAGGAAAGTCTAGGAGATACACTATCACAATACATATATGAGGTTTCCCTTGACACAGTTCATAAATTTGAGGCCGTGACAAAGAATTAAAATTACATCCATTTGGTTTTGATCTGAATTATCTGTTAAG